ATTAGACGATACTATACTATAATATACTATAATATACCATAATATACTACGTTATACTGTAACATACCATAATATACCATAATATACCATAATATACTATAATATACTATTGTCACCTTTAAAGACCATGGAGCCGACACGGCATGGCCATCCAGGCTTGGCGGCCCAAGACGCGGAAAACTGCAGAACCTAGCCTCCAAATCAGTGCTTGAAGGCTTTGAAGCCTTGATCCCATGCCAAAAGGTCTGAAGTCCCCAAGCCTCCGAAGTCACCCTCCACCTTCACGCCGAGGGCCCCCTGTCGTGACTATCGTGACCCTAACCCCTGGCTGTCGGAATCTCTTCATGCCTAGTTTGGTCAGACTCATGATCTTGTCTTGGCAAACAGCTGAGTACCCCCCGCTTTTTGCCGGTCTGGGGGAAGCGCCGCATTCGCAAAAAAAGGGATGCTGGTCGCGAGGCCAGCCGGAACCGCTTTTGAGGCTTTGGCGCCAGGCGGCCGCGCCCGCGCCAGTCCCTTTGAAGCGGCCGCCCTTGTGGACGGAGAGCCTGGGGACGAGGAGCCGCGACCTGCCGAGGAGACCTGGACCATGCTTGAGCGAAGCATTCCGGAAGAAAACCTGACATACCATGCCTTGCAGCCTTGCATATTGGGACTATATCCGTCCTTCTTCGATTCTCAAGAACACCCAACACTCGTTTCGGGCACTTTGGTCGGAGCAGCTGAGTCAGGATGCCGTGCATGTGCCTCCTCGTTGTACGTACCACGAAGTCCATCGTCCTGCAGCAAGACAAGCCCCCCAGTCCGGTCACAACCCTTCCATTCCTTGATTCCGGAAGAGTTACCTTCGACGCGAAGCGCTTCTTCAGCAGACTACGCCTGAGGAGCCCAGGCCTAGTTCGATGTGAAGCCTAACCAAATCAAAGTCTGAAAAAACAGCCCACACAGAAGTAGGTTGAGGCCACCGTAATTCTGCTTCTTTCTGCTTGCAAAGGTCGTGGCCACGATACAGGGCTGAGAGTGCTGTCCGCTAGGCTTCAGTCTCGGTCAAGCTGCAAACAACTACTCGATTCATGAAGTCCAACACGGATCAACCTCAACCCCTGTAGCGCCCTAAGCCGTAGATCCCAATTCCTACAGCCTACACCTCCCCCTTACGCTGAAACCCATAGAGCCGGAACTGTCATCTTGCCGGGCGGAGGTCGGAGGGCTTGCTCTGTACGAGAACATCACTACAGCTGCTCCTAACCCATATCGAAGCTCAGAGAGTTGAAGTCGACGTTACCGTTGACATGTCCACAGTAAACGCAGTAAACCCTATACTTTGAAGGAAATCATCCCTCCGTGGTCTTTAAACTCTCTTCCTTATTCGGCTCTCTTTGGAGACACGGCATACAGCCTTGGCATCGACGAGCTGTCGACAGGTGGAGCGCGAGCCCTCCTTCCTCCTCTTCATTCCGACAGCTTCGTCACCTGGTACGAGTTCAGAGCTCGGGGCTCGGAAGTGAGAAGTTCAGGGTTTTGAATGGATGGGATTGGGGCTGAGGGCTTTTTGGCGCTCATTATAGATGGCTGGAGAAGCTCATCGCCAAGGCTACGGACAACAAGTGCCCACCCCTGCAAAGCTGGGTGCCACTACCTCTATACGACCCCGTGTTGCTGTTCGTCAGACGCTCTGTACCGCTATGTGCCGCTGCCTTCGGGGGAAGCAGAGTTGGTACCACATTAGCTCAAACTGCCTACCTCATCGTGCTCAGTCGGATAGAGGAGTGAAAGACAATCTGGGATTACAGGCATGGGACCGTCTGGCTTTGGGCGGAGCATCTCCAACACCTATAGCCCCTTGCACCCGCAACCTTCAAACATGGCTCTTCCCAGAGTTTGCTAGCCTACAAGACCAAGCCTTCTTCTTCCACCGGCTTGAGTCGAGCACGACGCATCTTTAAAGACCAAGCCTATATTTTTATGTGCAGACAGACAGCCACAAAAAAAGGCGGAGAGAGGCACAGAGGGAGAGGAGACAGCCGACTCGGTTTTCGGCAAAGACCGATGCCGGCCTGGCGTCCAGGCCTCGTGCCACGTCAAGCGCAGCCAAGGCTCCTGTGGGTTCCTCCGGATGTGACGCTCCGAAGCTAAGAGTTGGGGTTTAGGAATTTCAGGTTCTGGGAGTTCTGGTCTTGGACTGAGAGTGCGGTTCTCAAGGTTCTTTGTTGACGCCTCTTGCCGCGAGAGTCCGAAAACGGAAGGCTTGGGATGTAGGGGTTAAGTGTTAAGTCTTTTCTCGGCCATGTCAACGCTCTCAAGGACCACAAAGAACCTGGCCAACCAGGAGATACGTTTGGAAATGTTCCAAAAAAAGAAACCACAAAACAAGGCGTGAACGGTGTAAGAGGAACAGCTGACAGCAGATTCAAGCCGATCGCAGTCTGGCCTTCTGAGCAAAATGTTCTGCTAGCGTCCTATCGGAAGCAGCACCCAAGAAACAACACTCCGGAGCCAACCAGAATGAAAGCTTCAGCGGGAGTTGATCTCTTACTACTCTCGTAAAATAGTAGTAATGTTGTGTTTCCTTGCCTTCTTCTTCTCGCTCCCTTTACCTACTATTTTTTCTACTGTTGTTCTTACTATCTATTACGAGTCTGTCGCCGCTAGAAAATTCTTATCGCAATTAGCAACTAATTAGTAATATCATTTCTTTTAGTACTACCAATGGTACTTTCTCCCAGCTAACATGGAGTTCTCCAGGGGTCGCCTTTCCAAAAGCAAACGGCAAGCTCTCAAAGCCTGGGGCAAATCCCAGATTTCAAACTATCGAACCTTCCGACTCGAGCTCAAGAGCAAAAATCACCGAACTTGAATCCAAGTCATCCAAATCCATGCGTTGCCAGTCCCAGCGATCTATGCATCCCATCTGCTTCCAAATCAATACCCTGTCTCAGGGCCATCACACCCATATTTTGATGATCTTGGCCATTGACCTCGGGTCCTGAAGCCTTTCCCCCCTGAGACAAGCAACTTGAGGGTTAGAGCTCAAGTTGCAGAGTTTGGGGTTGTAGGGACAACGATATGGGGGCTTTAGGGTTTGGGGTTTAGGGTTAGAGGGGCTGCAGGCGCTTCAAGGCTTCTGGGCTTCAGGCGATAAGTTGCCTACAGCCCTTCAGCACCCTCCGCATGCCCTGAACACGGCGCGTCCTTGGTCAGGTTCACGAAGAGGGCATCGAAGCAGCGATCCTGCTGTTGAGAGGCATCCGACATGCCGGAGGAGGGAGGTCTTCGATCAGGCCCGAGGTGTGAAGCCAGGCCGGTCCCAACGCCTAACATCAGCCTACTCGTGGACAAGTCAGAAGTAGGTAGCGTCATCACTTGTCACACGACTTACCTTTGGAGTGAGAATCATCGTCGCAATTCCGGCAGGCATACTGGTAATCTAACGACAGACATGCGAATTCCCGCAAGGAGAACCCGACTGATGAGCCCCAACACTACAAGTAGCAAGGATCGTGGAGTCTCCTGGGGATGCAGCAGGGAGTCTGGCTTTGCATCCGTGGCCAGCAACGAGAAGCCCCGTTGCGTGAGCAGACTTCGGATGTCCTCGTAGAGCGCCGTACCCTTCGCCAGCTTGGGCGCTCAAGGGCTACTGGGCCCAGGCTTCAAGGACTCGAGATTCCGGAGATCTGGAATCTAAGCTCACTGTCAGGCGCACAAAAACAAGTGCTTCTTGATTCTTGATGGCGGACTTTGCGGGCTGCCGTGATCAAGCGTCATATCGTCATATCACCCAACCCCAACTTCCATGAAACCTCCAAGATCTCGAAATATGCAGGGTTCCAGGGCTGGGGCTGTAAGACATCATGGCAGGTCTATGTCTCAAGGAATGTTAAGTAGGACTGTGAAGGTCAAGGGGAAGGCATGGGTCGGCTGGACTTGAGGGGGGGGGGGGCATCGAGTAGTGAGCTTTGGGATAGGATTCGGGTCGATTCGGGTCTAGGACGTATGGATCAGAGCCTTACTTGAGGCTTGAGGCTTTCAGGGTTTCTGTTGTGGCTGACCCGCCTTGCACATGCCAGGGGGCAGGCATGCCTCGATCTGCATGATCGTGATGGTCGGCAGGATCTGCGGGGAGACAGGTTGGTTGGGTTTGTAGGTGGCGCTGGGGCACAGCCTTCAAGGTGATCGAAGCCCTGACTTGGAAAGAGCCGGCGGAATCGCTGCTTTCGGACTTCGATGTTGATCTCCCTTCCAATTGGAGTTTGGAGCTTGACATTTTCACCGCGGTCCAAGCTGAGGACTCGCGACTCGTGGAGTTGTGATGCGTGGACTGGTGTGCACACTGTGGAATCTTCGAGTCATGAGATTTTGCAAATGCTGACGCTTTTCAGCTGTGTCTCAGAAGCTCGGCTCTGCTCGGTTCGTTAAGCCCTGCTCTTTGAGCATGGGTGCTGCCCTGTGGTGGAACTGGGATCCACTGCGCGACCCTTACACAGGTGCGATTCGAAAAGAAGTGTCGACGTGCAGCCCACAGTAGGGTGCTCAGTGCTCAGATGCTAACAACTCCACACCGGCAGCATGGGAATTGGACATCAAGCCTTGATAGAGGCCTGCAGCACGTTGTACTCATGGCACCTTGAGCTGGGTAGCTTCGGCGTGTGGGATGCTGTCATTCTCATGGCACAAGCGTACTGAATGCCGCGGTAGCAGCAGTAGCATTAGCACCAGTAGCATTAGCGGCAGCGGCAGCAGTAGCATTGGCAGCAACAGTAGCAGAAACAGCATGCAGGAGGCATAGCTGTTGTAGCAGAGGTAGTAGTGGTAGGCGTCGTCTTCGTCGTCGTCGTCGTTGTCGTCTCATGGTTTCGTCGTGGTCGTGGTCGTGGTCGTGGTCGGGTCGTGGTTGTGGTCGTGGTCGTGGTCGTGTTTCGTGGTCGTCGTTGTCGTCCTCCTCGTCCTCGTCTGGTAGTGGTAGTGGTAGTTGTGGCGGCAGTAGTGTCAGTATAGGAGCAGGAGCAGGGGCGGATGCATAGTTACAATTACAGAGATGACGACGAATACAGAAACAGCATACACTTGCGGACCAGGACATGGACGTCAATGTCAGTGGGCAGGGACGTGATGAGATTCGCACCGCCCTGAGCACGAACATATCGTTGCTGACGTAAGGCCATAACTAGCAAACACAAGCAACAGCGTTCCTTTTCTGAAAACAACAAGAGGCGGCTCAGTGATGAAATACAACATCATGGCAGACTGCGCGAGAAAGAATGCCGAAGTGTAGCAAGGCAAAAAGACATTGCGTTGGGACTAAGCAAGATATCCCTGCGCATCCTCGCAAGGAGAGGGAAAACCGGATGTGGATCTGACCTGAGATATCCTACATCAGGTAAGCAGAGGTCTGGCTATCTTCGCAGAGAAGATGCACAATACTCCGACAACTCGAAGATTTTCGCGCGCAAGTTCCAATTCCAGCTATCCTCTTCAAACTAGACCACTAGGACCGAGTACATTCAAAAACCCGCGACCCTGCCCAACCCCCACCCGCCAACCCCATCGGCTGTCTGCAACCGTCGTAAAAAGCAACATCCATGACCAGTGTGAACGGGAAGACAGACCCTCAACCGTGAGACCTTGATATCTTGAAAGAAGCATCCCAAATAGGCATGGACACAATGATTAAAAAGTGCATCTGTCTTCCAGGGCACTGCACATCCAGCTCGAGGAAATCCACAGCATGCACATCATAGAAGGCCAGGGAATCCTCTGCAACAGCTTTCGGTTTGCTTTGGCGCCTCCGCAGGCTCCAGGGAGTAAGGCGAAGGGATATCAAAGGAATGGATGGGAATTTTTTTGGAGCTGAAAGCGAAATCCAAGAGCCATGACGTCCCTCCTTTAGACCCCGAAGTCTTTCTCAGGTGCCTGACAGGGGCAACAATTTGTGGCCTATCCTAAGAAGACCCAGGGTCCTAGCGTTTAGGGCCGTTTAGGCGTTAACATCTAGGGTTGTAGGGGTTTAGGGTTATGGGCTTAGGGTTTAGGGTTTAGGGCTTAGGGTTTAGGGTTTAGGGTTTAGGGCTGTGGGCTTAGGGGTCCAGGCAGAGACTCCAAAGGCATCGTCTGGACTTTCACCGTCTCCCGCTGCCAGCTTATCTGCGGAAAGTGCTCGTTGAACCAGTCCTGCCGCTGGTTCTACTAGGGTTTAGGTTTAGGGTTTAGGGTTTAGGGGATAGACTTGTGAACTTAAACTTATTTTTGCAAACATGTCTATGCTCCTGTGAGAGAAGAGAGGGAGGTACGTAAAAACTCAGAGGCCAGGAGAACATGCAACAGCAAGGCAAAACCACGTACATCTTGGCATGCTTGATGTTTTTCGCAGATATGCATCTTTGGGGTGTGTTAGGAGCCCTAAACCTTCTTCGAGCTCCGTCCGTCGGCTCATGGAGCGTGTTGACCGCGCTCGTCGAAAAATTTCCGTCGCGGAGGTAGAAATCCATCCTGAGCTAGCGGTTTTCAAGTTTTCTCCTACAGGTTCCGGGTTTAGGGTTATGGGCCAATGTTTGGCCCCGCTGGCTTCGGGTTTGGAGCTTAGGGTGTTGGGCTCTGAACTTCTAGTTTGCTTAGGGTTTAGGGTTTAGGGTGACGTTGTGAATGCTACGAACTTCTGAACCGCGGGACACTGGAGTCAATCCGTTCTAGATTCGGGTTGGGAACATTTCATGGGTATTAGCGAGATTAGGGTTCAGGCTTCGGGTTTAGAGTTCAAGGTCTAGGGTCTAGAGCTTTTGGTTTAGGCCAAGTTGAGGCCTTAGGACGAAGGGCTTGTGTTTATGGGGATGTTTGCTGTAGCTTTGAAAGCATATTGGCTGCAAGATATGTAAGATATCCCATAATGGGAATGATATTCAATTCCGGAACCCAAGATATCCCATGATGGGAACGATGTTCAATTCCGGAACCCAAGACTCAGCATGCTCGTGGCGCACTTGCAGCCGGTGTGGAGACATCCGCGACCCACAGTTCAATTCATCCGCGACCACTCCCCTCCTCTGAGCCTCGCTTACCATGAACAAAAGTTCCCACAAGCAGCTGGGCATCTGTCCGACTTTGCCGGACAATGCCATGTTCAGCAGCTTCGAGTTGGGGTTCGCGCGACCCATGACGTCTCTGAGGTTCCTGCATCGGGGTGGGCGTGTTAAAGAGCTCGCAGTTCGAGATGTTTGATGTTTGCTTTTGGAAGGAAAGTTGCAATCTACCAGAAACTGCGACTCTTGCTGCACCAGGACTCCTCGTCAGGTGGGCAAAGCATGTCGGATCTGGCTCAAAGGCCATGATCTGTGCCGTTGGCCACTCCTGCGACGTGCGCAAGGGACCCGTGCATGAAGCTCACGTGGAATGGCTCCAGGGCTCAGGGTTTGAGTGAGCATGTATCGGGTCTTTGGTCTCAAGACATGCCCCATACATTGGGACTCTGGTTCAGAAGAACAATGGAGACGAGGGTGCCAGGAACTATAACCTCTTGAAATCACAGAGATCCCAATCGGAGATATCGATCTCCCCTCTACCTGTACATCGATGGGCTTCGTGTATTTATGCCTCTGTAGGCCAAGCAGGATATGGCAAACATGCGTGTATGCGTACGCAGTCAGAAACAGAGACAGAGAGACAGAGAGACAGAGAGACAGAGAGACAGGCAGGCAGGCAGGCAGGCAGGCAGGCAGGCAGGCAGGCAGACAGACAGACAGACAGACAGACAGAGCGACAGAGCGACAGACAGAGAGAGAGAGAGAGAGAGAGAGAGAGAGAGAGAAAGAGAGAGAGAGAGAGAGACAGACAGAGAGACAGACAGACAGACAGACAGACAGA